AGGAGGAAACCTTGTAAAGTATATTTTTCTGATAGGTAGATAACCATTGAATTGATAGTTGAAAGTAATCAAGCCGTTAATTTGTAGTTTCATTATTGGGAGGGGAAGTAGGATTTCATAAATGTTGTGAGTTGAACAAAGACCATGTTATTATCATTTCTCTTAGCAGTACCTGTGATGGAAGTTGAAGTACAATAAAATTCCAACTCAAGGACATGCATTTTTGTCATACGCTCGTTTAATGCATCTCTTTTCAATGTCACCTTTCACACAGAGACAAGAATTGGAGGAAATCGTAATTAATTAACAAAACGTTTTACAATTTCAGTAAAACATATTTACATTAAAAAAAGAGAGCATATTATATAAAATTGGATACCAAATTACCAATTATTTGTGGTCCAGCAACTGATGAAAAAGAGCATCGTAATGCTAAATAATTTGATTTGATTTGGAGATAGGGAAATGGTTTTCTGATAAAAGCTAATGGGGGTTGAGTGGACCCAATCTTAGTTATGTGATGGTACTAAGGATTCAGGAACTTAACTACAAAAAGGAGTTAGCCTTGCTGTTCTGTACCCACAAAACAATAATACAGATCATAGACAGCTGGTTCATTTCATGTTCCATTAGCAACCAACAAGCACTCTAACTTCTCTCTAATTAATGAGTTCTTCAACTTGTTGCACCACCTTTCATTGACCACTTCAACTTCAAACCTTGCTGCAAAACTATCAGAAAAACTCATCAAATGCTGTTCCATTTTTTTTTTCTTCTTCTTCTGATTTGGTTTAAAAGATACAGGAATTAATCTTCAAAACCTAGCTTCAGTATTATTATTATTTAAAATGATTGGCATTTAATATTTTGTACAAAAATTCAAAATTCAAAAGTATTATTATTTACAATCTCTTATTTTATTAATATTATTATTTTACTTATTAAGATATTGATCTATTATTTGGTTAGAGAGAAAATGCAAAGGAAGGGAAGAGACACATTTTGATGAAAATTCATTGGTTGGTTTTAGAGAAGCTAGAGAGAGAGAGAGAGAGAAATAGTCTAGGGACTCTTTAATTTTGTTACTCTTTCAGAATTAAAGATTCTTTTTTAAACATGAAATTAAAGAGATTTAAAGGAGAGAATAATGACTTAAAATATGTGTTTCTCACCTTTTTGTGGTGACTAAGTTGTCTTCAACTTTTTCAATTTCCACCCTACCAAAGTAACCACACTTCGTGCTACCACCCAGGACTGGTTGTGGCCTAAAGCAGATAAAACACTTGCTTTAAACCTCCAAATAAATAAAACTCCAGAAAATTTTATTTACCATAAATATTTTATTTCACAAAATATTTTAATTAGCTAATAGACAATACGTAAACTAAACATTTTCCTTTAAAATAGGCTACTCATTTTATCGTTTTCTATTATGTTAATTACCAACTATATATTATTTTATAATTTACATCTCTAAGTTTTTTTAAATTAAAATATACCTTTTTATTGTTAAAAACTTTAAATAATAAAGTGCAAAACTTGTTACACTTTTTATTTGTACCGCAAACATTCCAATTTTTAATTAGTTAAAATAAGAACAAAGTGACTTTCCTTCTTTCCATATCAACATTTTATTTGTCATTTTTTTTAATTGTACAATAAAGTTATTGTAATAATCTAACTCTCAAGAAAGATAAAGAATTCATTGTATCATTAATTGAAAAAATATTTTATGAAAACTAGTCATGATAGTTTGGTAAATAATTTTATATTTAAAAGCTTTAAACTTAAAAAGATGGTAGTTTAATAAATTATTTTGAACACGGTTGATTTTAATGTTGGATAAATGTTGGCAACCCTGCCACCACTCTCATTGCTTCCTCAGTTTCTTTGTTAATCATTTATAGCATTGACGACTTTTGTGACAATGTAGTAACTCTCGACCCACAAATCCACATTCAACTACTAACATGCTAAGGCACATTTATGTCTCCTAGATAGGGCACCTTCAATTTGGAAAAAGAAGCAAACTACATCCACTGTTACTCTGATCAATGCTCCTTCCATCACCACCTTTTCTCTTCCATTTTGCTCTTGATTTCACAAGACCACAGGGGACTGCAACAAAAAATTGTAAAAATATTTTTTTATTATTTTATTTTGGTTCTCTTCAGTCCTCTCCTTGCAAGCTGATAAATCTTTTCTTTTTAATCAAACACAATAAGGAAACTTTAAGACATTAGGAAAATGTTTTCCATTTTTTAAATTTACATAAAAAAAAATTCATATTAATAAGACCCATTTTTTCTAATTTTCTTTTCTGAACCAAATAATAAGTATAAGACATATAAAGTTAGAAAAAACAATTAGTGGCTTAATTTCAAATTTTGAAAATTTAAAGCTTAAAATGTGATAAATATTTTGGAATTAGAAGTATTGAAATATTTTCAATAAAGAACGTCGGTGAGAAGAAAAGGTGAAAATGATATACATAAAGATAATGGATTCCACTTTTCTTTGCTAATCAAAACTTGTCTGAGTGGAAGTTTATCTATTTATGCATATCAACAAAATCACTGGTTGCAAAACTTAGAGAGAGAAAAATCAACCACATATTTCTCAATATATTTATAAAAAATAAAAAAAAACCTTCCTTAATGGTTAAGATTTATTAAGACACAACAAATGATATATGTCTTTATGAGTTCATATCAAGGATATTTTTTAATTCATGGATAGTGAGAGATTAATTCTGAGACTAGTGATCGCCGGTTGGTATTATCTTTTCCAATGATTTTTTTTAATGACATTAACAAGAAATGAATCAACAATAATATACTTAACTATTCTATCAATTGTGTTTAAAATTTAATAATGAAATGATATATGCATGTCTCACCTCTTATTTAATGAGTCTATTTATACTTTAATAATTTTTAATTAAAATTTTAACAAATAATAAATTATATATTACAAAATGTCGTACTAACTTTGGACTAGTGGGGAAATCATGGTTATCTTTCGGCATCAAATGCCTTGATTGCTAGTAAGCCATTGTTAGTTCAAGTGCAATGAATGGATAAATTTGTAATTTGGAATTGCCCATAATTTAGGTAAATTCCCATCCAATTTGGGCAATGAAAGTGTGAGCATCGTGCATATGAGGCAAATCTGCCCGCATTATTTTGGTCTTCTCTTTTCTCGAGGAAAAGCAAAGAATAATACTGAAGTTTGTTGTGCTTTTCAACTGAGATTTTCTTGAGGATGTGCTCTTTAAGATTTTCAAAGTGCCAATATATTCCCGAATAATAATTAAGGTTATAAGGTTAAGATCTGCGAAAATTTTGGGTATGTGTACGTCAATGCAAAGTAACACATTAATTTTTAATGAAAGTGATATACATAATGGTATAGCTTTTTTTACCCTCTATTTCGGTGGCATTTTAATTTAACTAAAGTTTAGCATTATAGAGCCTAACCATTACATTTTTGCTTTTTTCCCCCCTTAAGGAAGGATTGATAGAACACGTTGAATTGCTTGTGAGCTCTTGGTACAAAATTTGTACGACTTTTTGACCTAGTTAGTACTTGAATATTATTGATATACATGTGATAGTGGGCCACAATGAATACCCATACTTGACTACGGAGTGTTCATAGTGTCAATTTTGTTTGTTTCCTTTTTCCTTAATGATGGCTACATGACACTACTACGGAACAAAAAGATCAAGATCATAAGCCATAAGCCCAATTAGTTTTTGGTCATGACCATAACCTGATCATTGATCCGAAATACCCTATGGTAAACATTATGCCAAAGATGTAGCTACATTTTTTTAATGGCCAAAACAAAAGGCCCATAAATTTTGAAATAATAGCTGGCTGCTTCAGTTTAACATTGGGCATAACCCGTGCATTAGTTGCTCCTGTCTTGGGGAGATATGATATAGTGATATACCATTTAACCACATGATCATAACAAACTCTATTCACGGACATTTCGACAAATATCATCCATAAATAATGATAATGTAAACCCTATAAGGACAAATTATTCTCAAATAGACGCATTGTAGCAACTAATAAATAACCATTCACCATGTCTAACTCATTTTTGGAATGGACTTAAAATTTGAGCTTTATTTGTTTGCCAAACAAGACATGAAAGGTCTCGGATTAAACTTAAAGCCCTCAGAATGTGATCAGCATTGCATTGTGTACATCGGAACAAGTGAGGTCAACAATCAACATGCAAAGTATGCATAAGGGTATAAAATATGAATTGTTCATCCATTGTTACAATTGATTTGTTTCAATACAATTTTGCAACACCTGTACAAAATATAAACCAATTTATTGTCACTGGTTTACGACATACATTTTCAATCAATAATAATAAGTGCATTGCATGTTTGGAGCTTCTAGCAAACTTTATACCTCTAGCACTTTGCTGTTTGATAAAGATAGTCCCATGTTACCTTTGATATGGAGCTTACGTTTTCTTACATGAGTTGTTTTTTATTTATATTTTATACCTAAATAACAACTTCTCTAGCTATGCAAAACTAAAACTCTTTTGTATAGTAATAAATAATTTCACATGAGATTAAAGTTCCATTCAAGAAAACTTAGTTATATAAATAGAATATTGTACACTTTCGTATCTTCATTTCGTCTGGATAAGAGATATGCGAGAGAAGATTATTTTTAAATTAATTTCATCTTATGATTTGAAAAATAATGCACCGGTACACCAAATTTAATTCAGTGTAGTTTGATTTTCAAAATTCATTTTATAAAAACAATGGAGTTTGATTTTTTATGAAATGGTTCTAGTTTTTCTATATCAATGTACTTCGATTTAAATTTGGATTGATTCATTTAGATTTTAATGGATACGTGATATTATAATATATACAGCTCATAGTGAAAGCCTAATTTGTTACAGGATTAAATAATAATAATAATAATAATAAAAACAGAGTGCTCACACAGCAGAATAAGGTACAATAATTTATGGTACACCACAAGATTTTATACCATATGTACAAATATGTACAACAGCGACTTCCAATCGCATCAGTTATGACTCGAGACTCCAACAAAACAGTGTTTTATGTTTAAATCTCGCCAAGCTTAAAGCTTCAGAAATAGTTTACCTTCTCTTAAAAACAGACTTCTACTAGAAAGAAACCAAGCCACTACATCCAACAGAACAAAAAGGAGGGGGAAGACAAAAATGTTTCTCACTAAGACACAGATGATACATTTAGAAAGAATTAAAAAAAAAAAAATGATTGAAGGAGTCCTAAAGTCCTCAACAGCAGACATAGACTATGGATTTACTGATGCAAAAGGGCAATGAAATAAACAAAACTGTCTATTTTCAAATTTTCATGATTTCCCCTTCCCCATGGCTCCTTCACGCTGATTCCGAAAATGACTGAGAAGCTGTTGTGCCTGCATGTACGTGAACAACACGTTAGCATTTCTTCCAATTTTAGATTAAGCTTAGGATGTGAGATGCTGTATTCCATGACCCCGCAATGTTTGTATAACTTTCCTTTAAGCTTGTGTTACTTTAAAAGTCCATTATGAAAATTAATATTTCTTTTAAACATGAATTATATTTTTTCCTATCTTAACAACCACCCCAAACAAGAGTAAAAACTTCCTCCTTTACTGTTTTTGGGGATAAGGGAGGGGGGAGAATGCACTGTTGTTAAGTCTCAATTTTACCTCTTTTTGGATGAGACTTATTGAACAAATTCCACTCATCCTTTGAACCATTGCAATATAATTGTTTTCTTTTTGGTTCATTTTGTGTGCAGATATAACTAACCCAAATTTAGCTAACAATACCTTAATACACCTCATTTTTTGTGCAGGTATTGAGCTAGGGACTTGAGGATTGAAGATCCATAGAATTGGAAACTAAAAGGAGCTAAGGAGCAGAGAAGAGGTTATGCGCCGGGTGCAAGGTGATCCGCGCCGGGCGAGCAAAACAGAGCATCTCACCTCTGGAAGCTATTGCGCCGGGCGTAACCTGAAGACAGAGGGCATTTGGAAGGCCATGCGCCGGGCGCGAAGACTTATGCGCCGGGCGCATGAACCCTAATCTGTCTCCCCAAGCTCGTATTTGAAAGCATTTTCGGGGACTTCTCCCCCATTCTCACATTGGGCGCCTCCAGGAGCTGCGGAAGGGATTCCCAGGGCTTGGGATCGTCCGTGTGCGGATCTTTCCTTCGGTTCTTCATCCTCCTTTCATCTCTATTTTGTATTTGCCCTCTTTGTTGAGTGGTTTCACCCATTTTGTGGGGTTAGATGTAACCAACGTACTCTATTGTAATCTTTACGATTTTAATGATATATATACATGTTGTTTTATTCTTTGTTGTGTTTGTTTCTATTCTTAATGCTTGCTTTGGATTGATCACCCTTTGCATGATTTAAGGTTCCATGGGTATTGGAAAATAACCTTTGAAACTAGTTCTGAAACATATGCCTAGTGGTGATTGTATCTAGGGATAGAGCTTGACCCATTAGTAGTCTTAAACCCTAGCCCGTAATGCGGGTGTAGATATTGGGTACTCAAGGGATTGATATTCAATATCCGCACCTAGGCTCTTTCTCTAAGGGATTAGGTTTGAGTAAACTTATGGGTTGACTAAGCAATGAATTCAACAAGAGATTAAGGATACATTAGTGTTACGTTTGGTGAAATCTGACCCCCACAACCTCACAATACCACAATACCATTCCTTACCTTTTCCACTCACAAAACAATATTTATTTACAGCTTTCATTCCAATAGTCACAACTTTGCATTCACTGCACAAACTATGAAATTGGAATTATTCTTTAGTCACGAATAGTCAATAAATGCTTATATTTTAGCACTTTGTTTCAACAAACTGACTAACCGTGATTGAACCTCAAGGCTTCAACACTATATCACCTAGAGAGGAATAAAAACTCATAAAATGCGGCAAAACAATGGTATATGCACACTAAACAGTGATTAGACCACCAAAATAGATGACAAAGACAAGAGGATTAGTTTCATACCTTTTCCTTTGCTCTTGGAGTACCAGACTGAGATAATGCAACCAGGGGAGGTACAGCGCCTTCTTGGAGAATCAGGGTACAAAACTTTCGACTATGAAAACATAGTTGCAAGAGGATGGAAGCAGCATTTTCCTTTCCCCTCTGAGAACCTGATTCAACAATTTCAACAAGTAAGGGAATGCCCCCTTCCCTTGCAATTTCTAATCGGCCCTCCACAATTGTTGACAGGTTTGCCAAAAGAGCAACAGCTTTGTCAACCATTCCATCAGCAGGGTCCAATAACAGAACCAGAAACTTCACGGCTCCAGCTTGAACTATACGTGCTTTATTCTCATGGAATATTGATAGGTTGAATAAGGCAGTTGCAGCATCCTTCTTTCCCCTAAGAGTTCCAGAGGCTAGAAGATCCACCAAAGCTTTAACTGCACCAGAACGGCCAATTTTTGCCTTATTCTTATCCATGACAGAGAGGCTGAACAAAGCAGCTGCAGAATTCTCCTTGGCACCATCATTTCCTGTCTGCAAAACATGTATAAATGATTCTATGGCACCTGCTTCCATAATCAAGGCTTTGTTGTTATCATAAATTGACAAATTCAATAGAGCTGTCACAGCATGCTCTTGTGTTATCTTCATGTCTGAATATAACAGTGAAAGTAAAGGCATAATTGCTCCGCACTGCCCTACAATGATACGATTCTCCATGTTATGCTTGGTATAGAGCCTCAATTTTTCTGCAGCAGCAGTTTGTGTTTCAATCAATTGACACTGGAGGTCTTCAATCAACTCATTGACATGGGATGCAGTGATCAACTCGTCAGATCCTAAGTTGGAAATAGGATGGGAATCAACTTTCAAATGACTAGTAATGATTGTATTATTGTTATTCTCATTATACTTATTTTCATTCTCCATTCTTCCAATTTTTGATCCAGGGCTATCAAATTGCTTTCCAGATGACCAAGGATAAATCCCAAATTCCTTATATGCAGGAGAAGTAGGACACCCATTAGTAATTTCTCCAGACAACTCTACATTTTGATGCTTATTAGATATGCTTGACACCTCTTTTGAAACTGGAAGTACATAATCGGTACTAGAAATAGAACTTGAAAATGATTCGCTTCTGCTGTTACTACATGAAGGTGCAGGGGATTGTTGCTCAGACTTTTCTGTCTCTTCATTCTGGCATCCATTGGATTTCTTGTTTGATCTGAAAGAGTTATCATCCTTTTGCTTCTCAAATGCAGTTCCAGTTTGATCTAAATTGGAAATGCTACTATCTGAAGACTCAAAGCTACACACACAATCTAATTCTTGATGTAATAAATGATCTGAGGGGGATGAAATATGAGCAGAATTACTGTGCTTAGAGTTACTGGGAAGTTTGACATTATTTTCCTCACACCAATTTGCTATCATAGCTTTTACAGTATAATTGGGAATGAGATTGGTATGGAAAAGTCTCTGATGAGTGTTGGGGCAAACAGTTAGCCCATGATCAAGCCACTTTTGAATGGATTGCCTCTCATATGTCTGACCTGAAGCCACAATAACAGGATCCAACATAATTTCCAATGATAAAGGACATCGAAAGTACGGGGGAATTAAGACACCACTTTTGACTTCAGACTGCTCAATTTTCATTACATAATCACGCAAATTGCACACAAGATTCACAATTTGGTTAATTTCATCCAAGTCCCCTTTTGTTTTATTGACTTCAGCATTTGACCTTTCCATTTCCACGGCAATACTTTCTTTCAGGAGCTCCTCGTTTGATGTAAATTTGAGTAACCCTATAATTTCCTTTAGATGATCATAGAAAGGTTGAATATTATCCCTTTGATTTCTCAATGCTTCTTCTATATAGACCATTGCAGGATCCTTCTCAAGACATTGAAGTTCCTGAATATAGTGCTGAAAAAAGTTGCTACCAATTAGTTCCATGATTGTATTGATCCACAAGACACCCACAAAAACTGACAAAAACTACTATTGCCAAATAAAGTAGTTTGACTTTCTTTCAACTCTTACTTTTGCAGGGGAGTGGGATAGGAGAATAATGATCAGGAAAGAAGTAACTTCAATTTTGAACATACCTGAAGATTAGCCAAAATTGAAACAGATGCAGGTGACTTTAGGGATCTAACTATCATATGACAAATCTTGAGTGAAGAGTTTTGTATCTTAATCAACAATTCCCCACTTTGAAGAACCTGAAAATAGAATATTCCCAACAAAAGAGTTAAGAGGTTGCAATCAATTTCTTCCAGAGAAGAAAGACAGATGGGGGAGGTATTGGTGGTTCATTGTTTCTTTTGACCTTGTTTGAATGCCAGCAAAGGGGCTTAGGATTCTAAACAAGTTGAAATAACAGTAGCCGAATGATGATATTAGTTTAAGTATAAGAAGTTTAGAATAAAAGTAATTACACTGTGAATCTTGCTCATCTTTGGGCCCCATTTTTCAATAAACTCCCTAGTTTCGTTAACCCACATATCCAATTCTTCACATTCTCTGTACAGATTTTCATCCAAAGTGATTTTGTTATCCACAATATCATTGAGCATTGGTTTCAAACGCTTCAAAACACCAACCATGTTATTACAATTCTTCTGAAGGGGCATTGGTTTCACTGTTTGGCAAGAAACTAGATGAATGAATCGAGAAATGCCGTTGACAAGACATTTCACTGAAGTTGTATTTGTTTGACCTGCTTCAGTTAGAGCATATAAAATCTAGTGTTACAAAATCAATAAAAAAAATCAAAATTAAAGGAAACATTTGTAACATGTACTAGGGAATTAAAATGCACAATTGCAGAAAATCTCCCTGTGGTACAAAACACTGTAACTTGACTCCCTAAACATATCAACACATAAAGCCTTTGTGCATGTATATGAAACCCAAATAAGGAGTCGTTATGCATGGATTGGTAAGTTCAAGGAATCAAATTGCTTATTTTCCAAAATGGGAGATTTTTTTTTGCAATTGACCTATAGTTGAAGCCTGAAGGGCTTCCTTGCATTATTTTTCATTCATTTGCAGCTCTGACTATCCAGCAATTAGTGACCAAAATAAACTCCATTATTGAAAAACATTCCAACAATTAGTACCACATGTTTGTGTCCATGCAAAAACGCAGATCAGCTAATAAAGACAAACAAATAAGCATTTGAAAAATGCTTAAGTAGATAACAATGACATAAAATAAATTTGCACCATTGCATGAAAAGGCAAATGAATTTCACCTACAGGTAAGACGGATCTGCTATAAAAAATTACAAAGATGTTATCAGAAATTCACTTGAGAGATCAAATGCAATTGCTGAATGAAAATGGTGCATGAAGACCAAACGGCCGAAACTGTTAAAGTCCATTGAAGGAAAAAGAAAATTCGGTTTTCAGTAACCTCACTCATCAACTTAAATGGTTACCAATTCAACTTTCAGACATAATTCTTCATCTGCCAGAACCATAGATTGGTAAAGTACTCCAAATTACCCTCTCTTCTTCACAACTTCTCACTAGTTAATCCAAAAACAACTCTATTAAGAGCCCTCAAAAACAACAACAACATAGCAAAATGTACCCAATTGTCAAGGAAATTCTCAACAACAAGATGTCACTAATCCACAACAAAACCCGAAACCACCTAAAATAACAAAAACAATAGAAGATCCTCCAATGGATCAAAAACTAGAAAAGGGAACCTGAGAAACCCATGAATTTTTTTAATATAAAAAATATTGTGAGGGAAAGTTGAATGTTTGGTTTGAATGGTTGCATTTGCATACATACCTATATGCATAGCTGTGATTATGAGAGTGGAAGGGTGGTAAAAGAGATGGTGATGAGTTCCAAAGCATGAGATTGTCTAAAATTAAAGTGATTTGTGAATTAGAAGTGAGTGAAAGGGCTTCCATGCCATGGCTCTGTTTCCCAACAAAGCTACCTGGAAAGCCTGACGCAGAGGGTCCAACAACTAAAGCAATTTTTCATCAAATTAAGTTAAGAACAACACAAATAAACATAAAATGGTTGAACTGGTGGGGCCCGTAAAAATCTTAGCTCATAAATTGAATCTAGTTCTTACTTCTTAATATCTTTCAATTGATTTTTAAAATTAAAAAGCACCATGTGAATATTTTTAAATTATATACCTATACACACAGTTTAGTTTTATACATTAAAAGATCGGATATTCGGATCGGGTTAAATACAATTTTAGGGTTAAACCCTAAACTCTAAAATATAATTAATTTACCATACATATTAATTTATAATCAAATAATAATATTAAGACATTTTTACACTTTCAATATATTTTAATTAAATTATATATCTATAATAAAAGTTTTTTTAAGAAATAATTTATGCAACGCAAGACAGTAGTACTTTATTAGCCTTATTGTAAATTTTTCAGTGGGTCAAACTTCTCTCGGATGTTGCATTTCTTCTAACTTTGTGACAAAAAATCTAGAATGCAAAAGAACTTTCAAGAGTCGGCCAAAGTCCAACAAGATTAGAAAAAAGATGGACATTAGAGAATAACATAATCGTGTAAAAATTGTTCTTATTGTCTCGCTCCTGGTCACGCTACCATTGATCTTTATTGTTGTAATGAATTTTAATAAATTTATTTAGTTATATTTATAATGTTAATATTCAATAAATTTAATTATTTGATGGTAATATCTGAGTTTTGGTATTTGATAAGTGAAAATCGGGAAAAAAAAAACTGAATCTGTAGGCCAAAATGGCCCGTTCCGGATTCAGAACGTCCCGTTTTGGTTCCACTTTTTATGTGTATTTTTTTGAATCCGGAACGGCCTGTTTTGATCCATTCGTCATATGTTATTTTTTTTAATCTGAAACGGTCCGTTCTGGAACGTGAACGGTAAAAAGTGCTAGTTAGAGAAATAAATTTGCATGGTTACTATTTAGGTAAATATTTTTTAAAATAGTATTATTTGAGTAAAAAACTCTTAATAATAACTTTTGATTGGTTAACTATGTAATATTTTTTTAATCGTATATAACCATTAAACTCTATATTTTATCTCATTAAAAGTAAATATTATAAAACTAAATAGAAAAAAAAAGTTTGGACAAATTAATTTATGAATTGCTGATTAAAAAATTTCCTTAATAAATTATTAGTATAAGCCCCTTTCTTAATTTCCCATTATTAAGGCATAATAATATTCTTACACACATAATTTTATCCAAATACTGTTTATCTATTGAGTACTTATGAACGTACATTTATTATTATCCTAAAAAAATACATTTTTATTCTCTTTCATCTCATGTTTCCCTCTTTTTATTTATATATATCACTTCTTATTACATTACACATTATATCTATCAATATCTTTTTCTATCTTTTTTCTTTTTCTTTTTCTCTTCTTGCACTCTAAAACCACCCCAACAAAATAGGGTGTGCATTTTTTATCGTCCTAATGAATAGAAGGGTTTAGGTGATGAACCAAAAGAAAAAAAGGGTTAGGTAAGGCATTAAAACTCAAAAGTGAAAAGGACTTAATTTGTTACTACTTGCTACCTGGTCTAAACCTGCCCATTTGATGCAACTTTCAAATTCCATGGTGTAGTTAGGGAACATGATTGAACTGAGTGGTAGTGCTTGGGGCAATCTTTGCTGGCTATATTGAATTGTTGCAATGACCAAATCGTCCTTTGGATCCAATCCAATACCATACAGATCTCACTCCCTCCGTCTGCTCATTAATTTAAACATTGCTCTGTGTCTATCACATTTTTGCCAACCATGTGAGCCAACATTTTTTACAGCCACATTTTTTTTTCTCTCTTCACAAATAGGGGACGTAAATAAGTAAGGTGTGACCACTAGTGATTAGGAAAGGGGAAAGTATAGAGATTTAGGTTCTATATCCATTGCAACATCTTTCTATTCTTTCTTTTTTCCTTTTTTTTTAAATAATAATAATAATAAATAAGGTGGCATTGTACTTTAAGTAAACCAATAAATTTCATAGTAGTGTTAAGAACATAATAATATATATAATAACACATATAAACAAGGTTCATGTACCTCTTTATTCATTTATTAAGTATCTCTTTCCGTACTTATTTAGTATTGATGAAGTGTCAACCACAATCTATTGTGGTTAGATAAATGATACTTCCTCCAAAATTTATCAATCAAAAAATCCTTCCAACGTTTAAATTTTCAAAATATTAAAATTAAAGAAATATTTTATTTAAGATTGTTGACAAATGTATATCATTGATTAGTTTGAAGGATGAGATAGGGAATGCTTTTTAGAATGAAAAGTTTGTGATTATAACATTTAGTATATCAAGACAATAAATTGTAGTAATAATTATAAACACCATAAAAATTGATGAGATAAAGATAGATAATTATTAATTAGATTGTTTTTTTTATTCATTAAAATTATAATAATAATTAGAGAGTGTAAATTTAAAATTTTGTGTATATTATTTCAATCATTTTACTATATCAATCCTAATGATTTTATAAATTATAATTTTGACATTAAGTACAATGAATAATAATACATTGTAATTATGATATCATGTACAACTAAAATGACTATAGTCAATTAATTCTTTCTCTATGACTTATATGTACTAAAACTATTCTATATTTTGGTCAAATTTTACTTTAGAAGAAAAATATTTTTAGATACACTAAGGTGGACACAAAGATAGAAAAAAAATATTGATATGATTAAAAGTAGTTAACTAATATTTTTATAAAAATTAATTATTAACAAAATCAAAGATATTATACATCAATAATTTAATTATAAAACTAAATTAAAGTAATATAATATGTCAACTTAATTAGACTCGTTGATTATTGGCTAGATTATTATTATTATTATTACGTGTTTTAATTTTTTTAATAACATGATGATTATTACACATACATGTAATAATAATAGTTTTTTTTTATGACATCATAGCTGTAATAATTATTCCTTACACGACACTCCTAACAATTTAGGGGCGAGGCAGCTTTATCTTTTTGTTGTTTTGTTGAATCAATATCATAATTAAAGACATATAAAGTCAAACCGAAGTCCATACTCACTTACATAAAAAAGAATTCCATATATCCTTGCATCATTTATATTCTGGGTAGTAAAACAATACAGATCCAACACTGAATTTTCTCTTTTCTTTTATTTTTTTTGTAATATAATTTATGCAGTATTTCAAAGTAAATAATCAAAGATTAATTTGTATTAATGAATTCTTTTTCTCCTCAAAGTCCACACCAATATTTGGATCCAAGCAGTATTTAAAAAAATGGATTCAAACTCATTTAAGTAAACGCAAACAATAATAAGCCTAATAAATAAATAACAGGTTGGTAATTTTAACCTGTATACCCCTCTTTTAAAAGAAAATGTTAATCAGTATTTAAATAGTATAGATAAAAGTGGGAAAACAATATATATTCTGTGTATTTTCATTGTGACTTTTTAATTAAAAAATATCATTTATTTATTATTTAATCGATGTTATCGATGTTCTTACTGACAATAACTTTTTTTGAACGTTGAGCCCATGATAAAGATTTAATTATTATTATTATTATATAAGGCATTTTTTTTACACGTCTCTTACATTTATATACTCGGATGTCAAAGTATGTGCGTACGTGTTTATAAGTTTCTCTTTATCGAAATTTTCATTTTCTTAACCACTTGAAACATTTACCACATTCAAAAAAACCAAAAATACTTCTGAACAAGTAGCAATATCTAAATGCTTTCATTATAAGATTATAATCGATTTCACCTTATTTTTTTTTATATACTTACATTTTGATTTAACCACCTACTCTAGATGCGAGATCTAATTGATAAAGTCCTACTTACATTTTCATTCGCTTTTGCTGTACCACCCTTCCTTTTTGTGGTCTGACTTCTAAGAAACAATGGTGTCTAAACTCTAAATTACATCCCTCAAAATCCTGAGTCAATCAGTATGAAGCTAAACAAACGAGATCTTCGTGATTTGTCTTGATTGGATTAGGTATTAATTGTTTGTCTTATTTGCCGTATACGTCATTGTTTGTAACTTGTATACTAAAAGGATTTTGTTGCTGAATCAGCATGCCCCAATGTTGATTTAGCGGCACTTGCCCACTGCTATATTAAGTGATGATATAAGGAAAATGTTTATATTGGAAGCAAGCGTATGCAAGCAAGCCACACCTGATGTTGGGTTCTCATTTATGATTTATCTATCATTATGGGCCTTAATGGAGCACTCATCATATCAATGAAAAGGGAACAATGTTAAAATATACCAACTCAGAACAAGTTTTACCGTATGTTTGGTTAAGGGAACAATTTTGAGGAATATAATTATTTAAGAAAATTAAAAAAAAAAACTTTTAAAATAAGTTAATCCAATCAAGTACTAGAACAATTGTTTCTAGAAACCTAAATCTTCGTATACATTAGTCGACCAAAGGTTAATCATGGAAATAGTCACTTACCCTTTCGTAATATTCCTAGTTTCATGTACCTTCTTTTCCATTGCCTTGACATGTAACAACATTACAAATTCCCACCGAAGAATCGGTAAGCATAGTTGTAAAAGAACTGTTAAGAAACAACGAGCTCCATTTATGTAGTGGCCATAGATTTTGGAATTTCTCATAAAGTGGAAATTTTCCTTCTGAACTAAAAGGCACAAGGAAAAGAAAAGAGAGAACAAAAACTGCTGGATGTGTAAACTATATGGCTAACAATTGCCTGATAAAGATTATTAGCATGTTTGTGAGCATTATTGTTGTAAAACTTCCAAAAGTATGTTCAGAGTGAAAGATACGATGTATACCTTTCTCCCGAAGTACATTCAACATGCAAGGCAAGGTAATCCAAATATGCTGTATATCTAACTACAGGGTAAATGGGTGCCAACTCGATCGCAATTAATACCAATGCTTAAGCAAGAACATACGGAATGGCACACATTCTAATCAGTGACAAAATTTCAAAAATCTCATCATGGGAATAAAGTTACAAATCCAAAATCCTCCGAGGCTTGGATAGCATGGTTATTCTATTCTAATGATCCACAAATCCTCAACAATTTGGAAGAATAAACCAGATCACAGGTAAAAAACATTAATAAATAAAATCTGTTGTCTCTTGTTTTTGCTTCTCAAACCTATAGCTGATCCAAATCACCTTCCAGTTAGCAACTCCAGGAGCACACCCTTCTTCATTTTTGAAAACCCTTTTAGACCCCGAGACTTTGCAAGTACCCTTAATTCAGACAGCTTAAGCATACTCAAATCCTCATGTAGTTCCACTTGCTGGTCCTCCCCATGTTCATCATCATAGATTTGTTCGGAATTAAGAGAATTATCCTCTGCCATGTCCTTAATCCCCATTTCAGGGAAGAAGAGCTCGTCCTTTGGATCAAGTTCCTGTTCAGACTCATGTTCTGGCTCAGGATCAAGCTTCATACCTATTTGATCCTGAACTTTCTCTATAATCACATCACTCAGGGGGACTGCATTGTCATCATTATCAACATAAGAAACGGGCTGATACCTTAACCGAGGAACGGGAGATCGTCGCTGGAAATTGGATGGAGGCCTGGCTACTAAAGAGATGTTGGTTTCTTGAGCCTCATTATTTGGAGTACCATCCAAATCAGAAAATTTGGTGCTTTGATTTTCATTATCTAGATCTTGATCACCATCTTGCAACTGATCCAAGCTTATCTTTTTGTCTCTGCCACCTACATTACTTCTTTTGTTTACTTGCTCAGCCGAGTGTTTCCTTAGTAGCTTGAGGAGGGAATCCACAGAACCATTCTGTCCTTGGGAGGCTTCAACTTTCTTTTCTTCTTTAATCGTAGCTCTCTCTCGTAGCCGAGCCTGAACCTTCTTAAATAGTGCAATAACCTCCTTCTCTCTGGGCCTAGGGACTACATTGTCCTGGTGTTTTGGCGTGCTAGAATGAGATCCCAATGCACCGTTTTTCGAAGATAACATATCTTCTTCAAAGTCCTCAAAGCTGTGTCTCCGGTCATTGAGCCACTTCCTGCTTCTCGAAAATCCATTCTTGTTTTGCCTGGAGGAAGATCCAGGACCCCTCCTTGATCTACACACAAATATGCACATGCACCTCTAGAAGAACACTTTAGCCCTCCAATTTCAACACGTGAATGAATTCTGTGGTAACCCTGAGAGGAGCACGAGAAGACACAAGTTGTTCTTCCAGAAACACCCGAACATGGAAGAAACCTACCTTGTGACACTCCACAGCCTGCAATATCACCCAAAACCACTTCAAAAATTAACTAGAGAAGTAAAATACAACAACAGAAGAAAAAAAATGTAGCAAGGTAATAAATTATTTATGACAGAGAAGAATCCAACACAATTCATCATAGAAACCTAGGATAAGGCATCAAGTACTCAATCTCTGAATTGAGTAATGAACAATGATCGACATCACAATTGCATTAGGAATTAAAATGAAGAACGGCCAGCATAAATGAACTATGATGAATGTAGGTGTCCAGAATATTACATGTGCTTCAATAAAATTTAAAAAAAAAATAAAAAATAAAAAGGAAAATCATGATGCAGAGATATTTGCCATAATTTTATTTACAGAAGAGAAGTTTGATTTTGTGTTATTACGGAAACGAGGCTGAAAAGCATGCCAGAGAAGGTATAAAATCAAAGAGAGAAAAAAGTGAAAAGGAGATGGAAAAACCAAAGCCCTAGATTGACAGAGGAAGACACCAACCGGCAACGTTGTTGAGCACCAGATGCGTTGCTTGGATCATCGTAACGAACCGCCCACACTCAGTGGCGGTTTGCTTCGATTCTCACTCCCTTAGCTGTCCAAGTCGCAGGTTTAGTTTGTTGTTGTTACGGTGTTACCTATCCACACACGGACATTCTCAACAATAAATATTTTCGCCAGGGAAAAGTAAAAGACTAGTAAAACTTCTATTAAAAAACCTTTTTTTTTAAAAAAAAAATCCTTACAAAAATACCTTTTAATGGTTTTTCTTTAATTTTATTTAACTCAAATTTTCATTTTAAGAAGAATTATGCCTCTAAAATAAATTAAACCAAATATTATCTAAAATTGTCCATAACCTCTTAATGTAATACAAGTAGTTTTGTCATAAATAAACTATTGATGAAAACAGATAATTTAGAATAAATTATTAAATTAATTTTAAATATTATTTTTCTCTTAAATAATTTTAAACCTAACAAAATTATATAAACAACTTTAAAATATTAAATATCTATCAATTTAATCATTAAATTGATATATTTTACCAATATTAACGACTAATTTAAAGAATATTTTTATGATTTAGAGATTATCTACATAAGTTTAGTAATTAAAGAATTATGAATTAACACAAATGATTCAGAATCTAATTCAAATTTATAGTTTTCATAATGTAAGTTTAACAACTTTATGTTACTATTAAAATTCTATTTTGATAGACATATTTAATAAAAAAAATTATTAAATTTTGCTAATTATTAAATTCTGGTTTAAAAATTTCAGGATGTCATTCACTCTATAGTCAGAATTCTCAAGATGTCATTTATTTACCATTCTTACTCATAAATAAATAAAGGTAGTTTAAAGAGTACCCAAGTGAGAAGGTAATATTTCAAAAACCAAATTGATAGTTTATTCAAATAATTTATACATACACAAATTTACCTCATACTCCTGAGTTTAATTAAACTTATTTTTTTATCCTTCACAAAATATAATCTTATTCAAGCAAAATAATTTATTATAAATAGCAAAACTTCCTCTTCAATTATTTAATGCATTATTTGATTTGACTTATTTTATAAATTAAAGTATAAGTCATCATTTCTTGAACATAAATTTTTTAAACAAACACTTACTAAATGTAAATGCTTTTTTAATTTTTAAGATATCAAATACAATTTTTTTATTTGACATTTTCTTGATAAAATATTAATATTAACAAATAATATCATAAAAAATATAATATTACTCTATATACATAAAACAAGCAGTGCAGATGTCTGCTAGAGCTTCAGCTTACGACAACTTTAAAACGTTTTACTCATGCTTTAAAGAAAAAGCCAATCATCTAATACTATGTAGTAAAGTATATCACTTCACACAACCATCCCAAACTTTGGCAAAAATAGTCACATCCTATTCTTGCTCTGTCTCAAATAGAATCCACAAGGAATGCCTATAAAACAAACTAGTTAATGCTGGTTAGGAAACCGGTTTGTTTCGAATTCTGAAACATGGAAAACACAAGTAGGCAACCACTTGACATATGTAGTGATTCACTTCATGGAAAAGTGCAAAGGAAGCACGTTTTCCCGTTTGGGTGGACAGGAATGTAAACCAAACAGGCCTTTAGGCCTTATGATTCTTTGACATCTCCTCAACATCAAGTTCCACTGCCAACACGGGCCAATCCTTTAGCATGCTGGAATGACTGGCAAAGGAGTAAATTGTATTAATAGTCAAAAGACCAATCCACCTTGTACATAAGAAATGAGTTAATGAGGCACATAAATTTAGTTCACCTGTTTCGTACACAGCCATGATCTACACAAGTTCGCAGGCGATAAATGACTCTGCCTACAATATCTGTCATGTCAACTGGACCAAATGATCGACTGTCCCTTGCTTCCTGTCATTCAGGTTGATGCATTAAACAAAGAAACATTCCTTGTTTACAAGCATTTAAGGAGTCAAAAGACTCAAAACTCAAGCATAGCCAAAATATTACCGTTAACCCCGACTAGTCTTTATGGAAACATTCACCTTATGACAAACGATTTAAATATAAATCATTTTTAAAATTTGGCTCATAGTATTTCTTGGTTTCCTTTATCGCTAACTACTGGACTACCTTTTATGTAATCTCACCCATTTACTGGGCTTCTATAGGTCTCTTCCACTTATGCTCAAACCACTTGCAACAAGATTCCACCATCTTTCCCAAGTATGATGTCAAGGAATGAGACTAAAAATATAGGTTCAAAATACATTATATTCCCATTTAAGCATACACTGCTTGGACAAAAACAGTTAACACACCTGTTTCTTTGTTACAACTTAAGTTCTTACTAATCACTATTTTAGTTCTCAGTTCATCATAACCCTCGCTCCACTATTAATGGCCAACGGGTGATTTTTTTTATTTTAGTCATAGGGAGAGAATTAAGGTGCCAAAACTACAAAGAGAGAGCTTTCATTTTTAAACTGGAGAGAATCACAGTCATGAATGTGAGCAAACCAGGTTCCAATAATTCCACCTCTTCCTTTTTAACCCATTTTTACTGTGTTATTTTATTTTATTTTATTTTCTGTTCTTCACAGAAACTCATTGCTAGTCTAGCAACATTTTCACAGTTTGTGTAATGTCAAAGGAACCCACGACCATGAGCTAAACTCTCATGGTCAAATAGCATAATGACAAGACACCAAATAGGCAGGGTAACTAATTGCTTGATGGCATGATAGTCTTACACCAATCTGATCTAGCTTAGTTAGTAGAGCAAGATGTGTGAGTTGTTGTAAACTCTTGGTACCAAATTTGATTCTGATGAATAAAAAAAATACAAATTATGAAGCTTTTTACGAATGGGGCCAGAGGTAATGGTAAATTTGCAAATATGAACATAATTATTAGTATCTAACAAATATATTATGAGAGATAAGAGGATCTAGTCTTTCAATCTCACATGAATGATCTAATAGTCTCAATATGCTTCTCTCGCTCTTGCAATAAGATACTAATGCCAATTGATATGCTCCATTTATATAGAGACCAGAAAAATAGAGCAGTTTTACCTTGGGTTTTAAACTTTTATTATCAGCTTCTACCCAACATTGATCCTTCTCTAGAATAAAGGTTTCATCCTTGTCATTAGTCGAAACCATCTCATAACCTTCAATAGCAGTTAATCGCCTGACTAGATAGTTATCTTTCTTCTCAGGGTTTTTCAAGACCACTAAATCTCCTACAGAAACATTCCTGTCAAAGAAACATGCATATCACAAGCAAATAACTAAAGGTTGCATTGATTAATAAACACAAGATGAAAAAGTGGACCATCAGTCAAAATCTCACTAATTTTAGTGGAAATCTAAAATAAGAAAATCAAAAGGGAGTAATGACCTCTAAATTTTTAAACTGACAGTCAGTCAGCAACATGTTTTGAGGTGAGGAGGGGAGGTGATCACAACTCATATCATACCATCCATAGACCATAGCCCCAACCAGATTACAAAATATAAAAAGAAAACCATATTTTTAAAAAAGTTAAAATAACACCTGTAAAACCCTGAAATGTTGTTTTACAACAAACAAAATATAAATCATCACAAGTAAGAAACACCTTATGCTTTCAACTTTCAACTTTAGAACTGACAGACCATAGTAAACTAGTGCTCAAATTAAGATACAGCAGGAGTTTGATAAAATGAGATAATTTTAGTAACTTGCAAACAATCAAATCTACAGGTGATATCAATATACTAACTTGGTAACACAAATTATGTGTCATTCCTTTTGTTACAACAAAAAATTGACTTCCTGTTACTGATAGCTCACGTTTTGTATCAGGCAGTTATTAGGTAGTTGTGTTTGTGTTTATTTTGCATTAGGACAGTTATTAGGCAAATATGTTTGTTTTAATTCTGTATTAGGCAGTTTTGTTTTAAGACGCGATGATTATATATACGGTTTGACAGAACTGTAGGAGGGAATTAAGGTGTCAAAATGTTATTTCCAATGTTTTGAAGGAGGAAACTCCTGTTAGGGGGAAACCTTGTGTTTTTTGACGTTTGCACTCAAATTTGGCCAAAAAGAGCAGATTATTTTTATGATTTATTCAGAACTCATTGTGTTTATTTTTTGAGTTCAACAGTTACAAATATTTTATAATAGAAATCCAGAGAGAGAAAAATATTGTAGAGATGTGACTAGTCAGACCATATTTCCATTTTTTAAAGAATGAATCAATGCGTTTAATCTGATAGTACAGTAGAGTTTATAAACTGTGACTAGCTTGGTCAGCAAGCTTTACATTGAAGACCAACATCTGTTATACAACCCAGCAGACTTCAGTTAGGCTAATCTAACGAAATCTCAATATTCTAAAAGCCTTCTAGGCCTGCAGCTAATCTGACTTGCCTACACAGTAGTCAGTCATGATGCACTAACAGTTTGTGCAATGATTCAAGAATGATTACTTAAACAAAAACAATCCTGTGTGTTAATCACTTGAAAAGGAGAATGATTTTATTATTATCATTCATGCATATTGCATTCTCATTACACCTTTTTGTAACAATCTAATCTTCCAAAAATAAGGAAATAAAGGACAAAATATGCTAAAAATAAATAGAAGATTCTACAAATATTTTCCTCTAATTAAGAAGATTTTTCTCTAATTACAACATAATCCTCGAGGATCACGTATCTAAAAGGAACCATGATAAGAACTACAAAATGGATGTAATTGACTACACATTAAAAAAAAAAAAAAAAAAGTTAGCAAAACATTAGCTTCCAGCCAGGGGATTCCTTGGATCACCCAAAAAAAAAATGTATTGTAGCAAAGATTGGAGCATTTAGCCTAAAATACACTTTTGTTAATGATGTAGTTTGAAAGTATGAAATCAAGATAAGAGGGGCATCCAAAGTATGAAATCAAGATGAGAAAAGCAACAGTTCAAAGATTTGTCAAATGAAAACATTAAGGTTAAGACATGGAATAAATATTGTGATTCAGGAGGATGACACATCCTCAGAATAAAATGGACCATATCAGACAACCCACAGTAGTAGTTAACAATTTTACAATCTGAAAAATCTATGTTGCACAAAATGAGTATGATTACTTTGGAGCAGCAATTGGTAACTTCCGGACAAGAAGAGTTTCTGCTTTTCCAATACTAGTAGGAGCCACCTGGTCCCCTTCATTCCGGTACACGTAAGTCAACTTTCTCAGCATCATGGTCTTATAAATGAAGTCGCTTTGCTGTCCTCCTTCATAGCTCTGTTTCATGCCACTAAACCAATCAGAAAAGGCTTACAAGTAAGCGCTAATGTTACACTACTCTACTGAAAAATACAGAAAAAGCAAGTAATATTTCTACAACTGCAAAACCTGGACTACTTGGAAACATGATCTGGACTAGGATTTCAGACCCCGCTCAGCTGTCCCATGGCTCAAAGGTAGGTGGATCCCAGAGCCCAACAAGTCCTTTCACTCCTTTGTAACCCCACACATGTTAACAGTCTATCAAGGCTGAGATCTTAACAGAAATTCCTATGAACAGGACACGGGATAAATGGATAAAATCTTTTTAGGATATCAATCAATCCCCAATTAATGGGAGCCTAATATCGTATGGGTTGCTCTCCAAGCAACTACACCTTGATAATGATATAAATAAAGGGTTTTAATTTTTAACCACTCATCTATGCACCTTTGTTGCCTGCTCTATGCTAGAGCAAACCCTAACTTCGGAATTGGAAATTGGAATGCCCTTTACAGGGACACACCATCCATCATCCATCTTAAAACTAACACTAGGACAAAACAAAACCTATCACTTTGAATACCTCTGCTTAGTTGATGACTTTGCAACTCTTCCAAATATCTCACATTAATCTATAATATAGCATAGATATTAGACAAAGGCAGGACCTACGATAGCTACTCCATTTTTCATATCCAGGCTTCAAACATGATCTTTGACAAAGTTATGCTTGAATATGCCTCTAGATAATTATCTTAATTTCAAGAAATAAATATTCAAAGGACATAAATAAAAGATACCTAATTAAAAATAATACAACAGTAGGAGGAAAATGAGAGAAATCTCAGAATCAAAACATTAGGACATGAAAGAACTGAAATGATTGAGTGTACTACCCCAGTATTCACATACTTCTGTATGACAAGTCGAAACCCCAAAGTCCCAACCCATAAAGACAAATAAATAACAAACAATTTTAAAAATCAACAAAGTTCCGAGAAAATGTGACACTAGAGACAACATAGGCCAGATAACGGGGAACAACACCTTCAAGCTAAGAAGGGTGTATTCTAACTTGTTGGCCAAGTAGCGACACCATGTTGAGAATGACGGTGGAGCCATTGCACTGCACTTATTTCACACCGATTCAACCAAATGCTTTTTTGTTCCTATTTATTATTCTCTCCAGTTTATCTATACCATTTCTATATCTTTATACATACAAATACGCTCTATACACTATATCTATATATGTATGCACAAATTATGGAAAGTAGTAGGATGTATTTAATTTTTACGATTTTATATATTCAAATATTTTAATTATATATTTATTGTAGATAGTGTTTTTATTTATTGTTTTAATTTTAGAAATATTTTTATGTAATTAAATAAAATTAATTTGATTAAAATTTGTTTATATTTGAGTACAAAAAATTTAAACATTTTTTTGCCTATATATAAGCGTGCAGAGAGAGTTTCATTTTTTAGTAAATTACAAGATTTAGTTACGATTTTAAAGATATGTTAGTATCATTTTTAATTCAAAATTAAAGTTTTATCTCACTTATATCTAAATTTTTTCCTTTGGTAAACTATTTTAGTCTTCATTTTATATTTTTTTATTTTTTATTTTATGTAAAAATTTAAATCATTTCTCATCTTATAAAGTCTTTGTCTCAAAACACTTGTCTTATAATTATCCACTTCATGATTTTTCTTTTTTATTTATTTTAAAAAATTGAAAAACAAGTAGTATCTCTTCTTTCTTCTTTTTTTTCTTTCTTTCTAATGTGACTAATATAAATATAAATTTATTGCGCAATGTTTTTAAATAAAAAATACTCTGTAATTTTAGGATAAAATACAATTTAAGATAAAAATATGTTTTTAATTCTTAAAATATCTTAAAAAGTGACATGATTTTGGTTTTTAATCAATAATTTAAAAAATATATTTTTGAGTAAATATCAATATTAAAAATATATTAAATTTTTATAAGAACTAAAAATTAACGATTCAAAATATTTTTGATTGATTTCTTTAGTGTATAGTTTCAAACACTTATTATGTTTGTCATGGTAGAAATCTTAATTATTTGTCCTTTGTATTCAATAGAATTTAAAAGTGTATAGATTATCTGGGAGGGGTGCAAACTCGTAGGTCTATAAATTAATACGAACTTGGATGATTTTGTCTTGTCAAATAGTGATGATATATATTACTAGGTGTGCATATATGTATTTTGCAGAATCTAGTGATGACCACAAGAAGTAAACAATTTTAAGGATGTTTGTTAGGTTTTCTAAGCAGCTAATCCTTGAGGAACATGACCTACTATTAAAAAGTAACCTCCATGTTAAATAAAAAGATAGTGTTGAAGGTAATGGGGGAGGTAGGCCTGTTAAGAGGTCAACGCTCCCTAGTAACAAAGCAAAAGCTACTACCTTGTTGGGGAAAGGTGTTATCTTTCCTACTTCAGTTGGGGAGGTGTTAAAAAAGGTAACAATGTCTCACAAGGACATCATCAAAAGTGTGAATGAAGAGTCTTCATCCCAATCGACTAGTATGGAGGAGGATATAGAGAATGACTTCTTGGCTTTTGAGGAGCTAGATGGGCTTGTGGAGAACCCTCTTTATTTGAACATTAAAGTACTCAAGGAAGAAGTGAGACGCGCTTGCCAATCGTGAGAACTTTCAGTGATAGTTAAAACTCTTAGGGAAGAGGATAGGGTGGAAGAAGGAATAATGGAAATGTGCCCCCAAACCCTAGTTTGTCTATGGAGGAAATTGACTTTGTTCAAAACACCCTTCTAAACTCTAATGTGAAGGTTGCATTCTTTAACATAAGGACACTCAAAGGCTTTGGGGCTTGATGGTCTCCATCTACTTGACTACGAGGTTTTGGTTGGACAAATGGTTTCCTTCGGGTGTTTGTCTTATTGATAAAGCTATTCACCTTTCCAACCATCTCGATCTCCATAATCTAGTAGTGAACTATGTTGGAGGTAATGAGTTTGAGCTGATTACTAGTATGATCAGGTGTTTGCCTCAACTTGTTTTGGACGAGATCATAGCTTACCCCCCTCTTTTTCCTTATAAGGGGAAATTGCCCCTCTTAGACCCCTCACTCTGGATGATTTTTTATTTTTTATATATTTTTTTTATGAAATCAGCTTATAAATACCTTGTTGGCCATAATTCTAGCTCCCCTGGGATAAATTAGAGGAAAGTATGGAGATGGAATGACCCTCATCATGTCAAGAGTTTCATTTCTGTCATCCTTTATGATGGTCTTAAGACTAATGTCAGGCTACAAGTTTTTTGTTTGGTGGATGACATCACTTGTCCTCTTTGTGGAAAAGATTCAAAGTTTAACATTTATATTCTTCGTGATTGCCACTTAGTGAAGTTTATCTTGGAGAATATCGACAACACTAGTTTGTTTTTTCCTGCAAAATTCTTTAACCACCAATTGAAGGTTCGAGTCATGCAAAATATTAGTTCTAATAATACCTCTTGGAACTCTCATTTTGGTATTACTCTTTGGGCTATTTGGATTGCTAGAAATAAAGTGATTTTTGAAGGTAAGCATTTAAGGGTGAAGCTATTATGACTAAGACAAATTACACAATATTCGAAGTTGGTTTGACAACTAGAATTGAGTGTCATAGAATCTAAAGAACAGAGGATAGAAGTGTTTCCTTCAGGGTGGATTAAGCATAATGTTGATGGGTCAATTCATTTGGCCAGTAGTAACATAGGCTGTAGGGATGCATTGAGGGATGTTAATAATAATTGGTTATTGGGATTTTGTAAGAAATTAGGGGCTTACTCAATTATAGTCATATAGATTTGGGCTATTATTACAACAACAGAGCATGTGCGAGATTTAGATTATAGTTGTGTGTGGGTGGAGGCAAACTCCTTGACAACCTCTTCTTTCTTCAACAATGAAATTTTGGATGATTATCTTTACGCTGAACTCATCAGACATAGTCAATCCTCAATGATATGATCTTAGAATGTAAAGGTTACTCACATGATGTGGGAAGTGAATAGTGTGGTTGATCATATGACAAGTGTAAGCCATCAGACTTCTTAGAATCTCTTAGATTTTGAAACTCCTCCTATAGAATACAAGGTCCTTTTGTGACATCATTTTAGGGAGGGTTTTAACCTCTCTTAGACTTTTTTAAATTTTCATTTAATAACAAAAAAGATATTTTGATAAATGAAAAACATATTTTAATAAAAAAATGATTTCACTTTTTTAAAAATACTTGTGAAAGTCACAGTTGGTTGATAACATTTTTCTTATGCGTAGTTAGCTCATAACATAATTGTGGTAAGTCAAAATTATTATTATTATTTTTAATTCCAAGTGAGGCCGAAATCAAAGTGGTACTAATCCGGGTGAGGTGAGTAAAATATCTAGGTGGAGACTGGAGACATTAACTAATCCCACAGAAGGACAACCACAAATCCGAGTCTAGAATTGAATTGAACCCGAAATTCCACCATCACACCACATCACACCCACACACAACCCTTTTCTCTCTCGCCTCTGCACTTTATAATCTTGAAACCTCAGCTTCCAGTCCTCATCAGATCCAGGGAATGGAGCGGTTGAAGCTTGCGCAGCTGGGGGAGAGGCTGAAGACGGGTGGGGCCCAGATGGGCCGAATGGTGAGCGGGAAAGTCAAGGAGATGCTGCAGGCGCCCACGCCGGAGTCCAAGATGGTGGAGGACGCCACGGCCGAGACGCTCCAGGAGCCCAACTGGGGCATGAATCTCAGGATATGCGCCATGATCAACAGCGACGACTTCAGCGGCTCCGAGCTCGTTAAGGCCCTCAAGAGGAGACTCACCCACAAGAGCCCCCTCGTTCAGACCCTCACCCTCGAACTCTTGGAAACCTGCGCCATGAACTGCGACAAGCTCTTCTCCGAAATCGCTTCCGAGAAGCTTCTCGACGATTTGGTTCGCTTGATGGATAACCCCCAGGCCCAGCACCACACTCGCAGACGGGCTTTTCACTTGATTCGGGCCTGGGGCGAGTCCCAGGATCTTGCCTATCTCCCTGTCTTTCGTCAAACTTATATG